ACTTAACATTTCTTCTACTCCTTCCTTAATTTCATCACTGTTCTGGGCCAGTGTTTGAGGAACAGTCCTGGACAAGGGTTCAAGAATCACTGTCTTTGAACCAGCAGAAAGTACTGATTGATAGGATTGTAAATCCACAGGAAGCATGCGTTGAGATCTCACAGGGAGACTGTCTCCATCCAGGACAGCATGGGTCACCATCAGGCCAGGTCTTCTCAGTGCCTCTCTGACCTCACACCTGTGTCTCTGTGTGATCGGGGTGGAGTGTTGAGGTGTGGTCTTCCTAGGTTTGCTGTAACCACAAACAGGGTAGCTTTGAAAAACAAACCCACTGTCTAACAGTTCTAGAGGCTAGAAGTCCAAGATCTAGGTGTCAACAGAGTTGTGCTCTCTCTGAAGACTCTGGGGCTGGGAGTCAGGCAAGGGCAGAGTCAGGGAGAAGCCTTCCTGCCTCGTTCTATTTTCTGGTGGCTACTGACAACCCTTGATGTCCCTGGGCTTGTAGATGTGTGGCTCTAATCTCTGTTTCCATCTTCACATGACCTTCTCCCTGTGTGTCCGTCTGCCTGAATGTCCCTCCTTTGTAAGGATGCCTCATTGGACTAGGATGCCTCTACATCTAATATGATCTCATCTTTCTGAGGCTAGAGTTATTCATCCAAATAAGGTCACCTTCACAGGTGCCTGGAGTTAGGACATCAGTGTATCTCTTTGGGGGACACAACTCAACCCACCACAGTTGTGTGCTCCTGATAACTGTCTCCCAGCACTCTCCTTCTAGCTCAAAGATATGGTCAGAGAGCATGAGATCTGGGTTTCCATGGCCCCCAGGACCATCTCTGGGAGGTAAAGAGTAGGGCTAACTCTTTGAACTGTTTCCATGAAAGCACAGGGAAAGCAGCTTTCCCAAAACGAACTTTTGGGGAGAGGGTCCCTCATGGGAACTACCTGTACTTCTGACCTGACCCTCCTGTTTCCAGGCCTGGACCAGGAAGCCCCTTCAAGCTTTAGAGTCCAGTAACCCAATCCTTACCCTCAGAAATGTCTACCTTCCCCCCAAAGTGGGTGACCCATCTTTAGATCATTTCCTGCATCTGAAATAACCCAACAGATGACAGAGCCACCCTGAAGCACTTCAGCTGGGTGCTCTTGGCCATTTCTCTCTCCTCTTTGCACTGTGAGTGGGGAGCAATAGTGAAAGAGGCAGGTCTTCAGTCTTCATTTCTGTGCAGAGGGAGCTGTGGCCAGTGCTCTTACCACGTCACTTTATGTCTCTGTGACCACAACCTTCAGCTTGCCCATTTTGGAATAATACACTTAGCAACGATGGGAACATTTTGCTTTGTTCTGCCTGTGCTGAACCTGTTTACTTCGCAAGAGAAATCAGACTGGTTGTCATAGTTATGCCCTTGGCTCCCTGAGTTGAATAGGACCAGTTTTGATGTTATCTTATATTCTTTATAATTAATTATATTATATTCTGGATCTCAGATGGTGGGTGGTGGAGCAGGTTTGCCAATGCATTCCATTACAATGCTTTTAAAATAAACCCTCGGAATTAAAACCATGTTATTATCTCCTTTTACTTTTAAATAGATTTTCAAATGTTCATCAAGTTAAGAAAGAAACATATTTAAACACTCATGGTCTTTCATTTAATGATGTTGGGAAAGAATCCGGAAGAAGGAGAGGTCACAGAAATATCTTAGGGGATATTTGCTCATATGCAAAACCCTCTGTTGGTTCCAATGTGGCCAGCTGAGGTGAAGCTTTATCAGTTCATACCAGGACAAGCTATAAGAACTTGGGACTTGTTCCCTAGCCTCCAACTTCTTTCCCCTGCAGCCTGTGCTGTCTAGACATCTCAGTCATCGTGTGATGTGTCCGCTCAAAGTTTCTCAATACCTCCTCACTGATGGCAGGGTAAATTCCATCCTCCTCAATCAGATATTCAAGATGTCCTACCATCAGACTCCTCCTGGCTTTCCAGATGGGCTTAGTCATCGTCTCATTGTCCAGCGATAATACCAACATACCTTTACTTCATGCCTAGAGTTACGGCTCCCTCTGTATTCTCCCTCTTAGAAATCATTCCCCTCCTGGTGTCTGTCCAAATCCAACCCATGTCCTCTTTCTAGTGCATATGAAAGCTCAGTCTCTGCACCTGTCTATCTAGCTTGGCGAGCCATAATTTTATGCTCCATTTCCACGTACCGATACGTGAACAGAGATGAATATATTTCTAGGCAAGATGGAACCCCCTTCCTCACATATTCTTCTCCTTTTCACTGGCAGCTCCACCACCCTTCAGCTGCTCAGAACCAGAGACTTTTTGGCTCCCTTTCTTTACAAACCCAGGAAGGACTTGGTATCACCGAGACACTGTTCTCTTGGCAATAATCTGTGTGGATATTGTCTCCCACGTTGTGCACCTATTTTCCAAACCAATTTCCTTGAACAAGCAAGGAGGTAAGGGACACTGATGTCTACTGTAAACCTACCAAGCTCCTCATGCAAGCATCTTCAGCCATACTGAAATGGATCTGCAAGCCCCTCCAGAAGTGTTTTGGTCCATACTTTCAAATGAGGGAACTGAAGCTTAGAGAGGGTTAATGACTTTCCCTGGGACAGTTTGATGCCCGATATGGTGCCAAAGAGAGAGAGAGAGAGAGAGAGAGAGAGAGAGAGAGAAAAATATTGTGGGATGGAGCTTGTTAGAACAGGCTTCACAGATGCAGTGGCTGTGAGCCAAACCTTGGCTGGGTGGGCAGGAGGCGAGGAGGGAGCACTGCGTGTGAGCAGCATCACAAAGATTTCAGACTCAACGTGACAATGTGAGCATTTATGGCTTCCAGAGATTGTCCCTGATTTCCTTTAAGAAGGCAGTATTAAAGTTAATTGCCTGGTTTGGAACATGCAAAGACTGAAATGTGCTAGAACGATCAAAGTTCAGAGGTAAGTGAACTTTTATGGCAGCAGGTTGAGAATGGAATAAATGCTGACTGAGGAGCAGGGGATTTATACATTAACTGCAGGTCAAAAGAGGACTCTCACCCAAGGTAGCTGAAACTGGCAAACACACAATCCCAGATGGTTTCACACAGGGGGATAAAAATGAATGAGCCAATGTGGATTCATTGATGGTAACAAATGTACCACGGCGGGGAAGGGGGGCGCGGGCGAACGCTCTGTACTTTCTACCCTATTTTTCTGCAAATCTACAACTGCTCTAAAATATAAGGTTGATTTTAAATAAATCAATTAAATTTTTTAAAAAATGTTTAAACAATTAGGCCAAGTGCTGAAACTGACCACCGTGGCATGAGAAGAGAGGAATGTGTTACCCCCTCTTGGTGTGTTGGGGTATACTCACCCTGCTCAGCTAATGTGTTGCCCTTTTATTTTTCCAGTTTGCTCATCAATGAAATGAACACTGAAGGCCTCAAGAAGTGAGATGTGGACTAGAGAAAGAAGAAAATGAAAAGGAGGAACGGAAGGATACTTCAGTAGACAACATATTGAAAAATGAAAAGCTGGCTGCATGTGGAATTTTCAAAACCATAAGGATTATGTGTCTAGGAAGAGTTTTATAGAACATTTAATATATGGTGTCCTTGGGAATTATTCCTCTCATTTTCT